CTGGCTTGTGGGCTCGTCTAATAGGAAAAAAAATAAAAATAAAAAAATTCTTTTACCAGAACAGTCACTTGGAGTTGGTGACCAAACGGTCACTGAATTTTTCAATGACCGTTTGGTCATAATTACAAAAAAAAAAAATTTCTACTTTTATTCTCCTATAAATACTCGAGTCATTACAACATTTTTTCCCACCAAACTTTCGTTCTCTACTCTCTACAATTTACAAATCATTATAAAGTCAAATGAATATCAAAAGATCCAAAATTTTAATATTTTTCAAGTGAAAAATTATATTAATCAAACACAATTTATTGACAATTCAAAGGAAAACAATTCTAGACAATTCAATTTCCTAAAATTTATTTTCTTTCCAACCAAATTTCACTCTTATACTCAAACGGATCCTAAATCAACTTAAATAAAACCAAAAGCACTTTGCTTGTTTGATGTATGAAATTTTTCATGGAAGTTGGAAAATATTTTTCATTTTTCACGTTTTTGATTGTCTGGTAGCCAAAATTTTCTAGGAATTTGATTTTCCAACTTCACCTCACGTGACACTATTTTCCACATTTTCCTTGAATTTGCTTTCTATGGTTTTGGTGGGGTTTTTTTTTTTTGTGCAATGAAAATAAATTATATACCCAATTTTAAAAGAAATTTCCATTTAATGGACAATTTTAATGTAATACAAAGCCAAACGAGTATCAAAAGATCCAAAATTTCAATATTTTCCACGTGAAATTTATACTAATCAAACATAATTAATTGACAATTTTTAGGAAAACAATTCTAAACAATTCAATTCCCTGAAATTCATTTTTTTTTCCACCCAAATTCCACTATTTCAATCAAATGAACCTTAGGGTGTATTTGATTGCAAGGGTAGAAAATGGGTGGAAAGAAAATGTTTTATAGGGAATTGAATTGTTTAGAATTTGTTTTACTAGAAATTGTAATTAATTGTGTTTGATTGATATAATTTTCCACATTTGCCATTTAGCTTTGTTTTTCATGAAAATTGTCGATTAAAGAAATTAATTTTATTAGAATTGAGAATAGAATTTGTTTGGATTGCCAAAAAGTAAAAAAAATAAAAAATAAAAAAAATTTTAAAATTTTTTTGTGTTCGTTTGACTTTATTTCACATGCAAATTGTTAATTAAATGAATATTTTTTTTTACCAATGAGTTTGAAATATGTTCCAATTTC